TTATTTATTTATTTATTTATTATTTTCCAACCTCTGGTATGGTGCCCTGTTCCTGTGTAGATGGGACACCTCTACCTTCATCATAAAATCGGACACTTACTACCTTCCTCAACAGATGTCTTCATTGTGAATATAATGCAAAAAACCTGGGTTCTGATTTGATTTCAGTTTGATAACTCTGAATACCTTTACATCTTTATTCTCCTTTGCAGCAAAACTCCTCAAAGGATTTCTACTACTTTCTTTTTTACAATCTCTTCCTCACATCATCTCTCAAGTCACTCTTTTATCTTTTGCTTTTTCAAATTGCCAGAATTGCTCTTGCTGAGATCAGCAATGATCTCTCATTTGAGTTTAATAACAGTAAATTCTCAACCCTTATCTTATGTGATATATTAGCCATATGTGACCGGCTGATGACTGTCTCATTACACTTGACTTCTGGGACCTCATACTGTTGTAGTTTTATTTTTTTCTTCACCTTTAGCTCCTCAGCTTTTTTTCCCAAGGTTTCTTTGATCTCTTCATACTAGAGTTCATCAAGGCTGAGTCTTCAGGTCTTATCTTTTATCTGTCTGTACTTATGTGCTTGTCTCATAATTCTTTACTATTCAGTTTATGTATTTTTGTTTGTTTGTTTACCTAATAGCCTAGGCTGGCCTCAAGTTTGATAAGCAGCCATGGCTGGTCTTGAACTCCTGATCTCCCTGTTTTCATTTTCCAGATGCTGGAATTAATAGTCATGTGCTGCCATATCCACCCTCAATCTCGTGATTCTAAATATTTCCTAATGTCTGTAGCTCTTTAATTTATATCTTCAGTCTAGATTTCTTTCCATAACTCCAGACTTGTAAATTCAGCTGTTTTTTTTTTTTTTTTTATACATCTGAAACATATCCAAGCTGAAATCCTGATTTTCTTTTCAAGAACCGTCCAGTCTCATTCTCCTCCAGCTTCTGTATCCCCTTATTGCTTAGGGTAAAAATCCTCAATGTTGTTATTTTGTCTTTCTCTTTTTCCCACCCTAAATTTAAAATACTAAGAAATCAAATCAACCATACTTTCGAATGCACCCAGAATCTGGTCACGTCTCAATTCTGTCAAGCCATTATTCTCACCTAAATGTTGAAATAACCATCAAATTCTTTTGTCCCTGTGGTAGTTTTAATTCGTTAGCAATATTCAGTCCTCAGCCCCTATTAACATGACAGTGTATACTTCCTACTTCCTGTATCACTGTCTTTGGGCTTGGCTGCACTGTTTAATTTGGCCTATCTAAGGCTAGTAGGTAGGACAGAGAGAGGCTTGAGTATGTTTTAGATTCAGCTTTTCTTTTGTACTTTGATGATAAATCCTGAAAAGAACTTGTGCCAAGTGTCTGCTACAATTTCAACTTCTGCAGTAGAAAAATGAACTGACTTGAAGTGAGTCTGTAGCCTGTAGTCAAGCTCAGTGGCACCTCAGCCTGAGGCAGAGTCTCCCAGCTGTAGCGGACAGATCTGTCCAACCACAGCCAGTCTGCAGTTCACAAATGTGAGGAAAATAGCTTGTTGGAGACTTTTGAGATTGTTAGTTCTGTTATGATCATGACAGGAGAGACAAATACTCCCTCATAGTCTATGTTTAGCACAATAGCCAAAGTGATTAAAGTCTAAATCAGATCATATCACACCTTAAAATACCATAGTAGTTTCCCATTCTCTCAGAGTAAAAGTCAGAGTACTTGTAGTGGTGTATAAATAATGCTTCCGAAATAATGCAGTCCCCTATCTCATCTCCTGCTGTTCTGCCCCTTGCTACTTCTCTTGCTAACACTGGCCTCCTTAATAAATATCAACCTGCAAAGTACACTGCCTTGTACCAGCTAGTTCATTTGGTTAGGGCACTCCAAGGTTGGCATGGCTTACTCATCCTTAGGTCTTTGCTCACATATCACCTTCTCAATGTGGCTTACCTCATCACCTGGATTAACTAGCCCTCAGCACTCTGCATTCCCTATACCCTGGCATTCTGAATTCCCTACACATTTGCTCCACTTCTTTTTTGTCATAATGGCTGTAATTTTCTAACAAACTGTAATTTTTTTTGGGGGGGGGTCTTTTTGAGACAGGGTCTCCCTGTAGCCCCAGCTGGCCTGGAACTCACTATGTAGACCAGGCTGGCCTTGAACTCACAGAGATCCACCTGCCTCTGCCTCCCAAGTGCTGGGATTAAAGGTGTGTACCACCACACCCAGAAAACAAACTATAATTTTAAAATATGCTTGCATTTTGGCTTACTCTCACTAAAATACAAGCCTCTGAGAGAGAGAGAGAGACAGGCGTCTATGTTGCTTTTATTCTTTAGTACGTCCCATAAGCTTAGAATAGTGTCAGTTACATAGTCGGCATCCAAAAAGGATTAATGAGTGAATGAGTGAACCACTAAATAAGCAAGTAGCCAGTCATAGGCTTGTTTTCTGAAATGTTCTCATGTTAGAAATACATGGTTATAACACTCAGGTTTTAATTCTGTGCAGAAATGGCTATTCATATAGAGTGGCAGTTGCATTATCTCTCTTTCTGGGATGGCTTGGAGCAGATCGATTTTACCTTGGATACCCTGCCTTAGGTGAGTATGCTTCATCCAAAAAGAAAAGAAAATCCTTATGAAACTTGTTTTGAATTTATGTTAAATGCATGTGTTCTTAGATTTAAATGTCTACATTTTCAAGATTCATATAACTGGAGTTGAATAGTTAACATTGTTCTTTGAGTTTAGAGCTTTAGTTAGCTCTGCAATTTAGCTTAAGTAAGAAATATTGTCTTTTCCCGTGTACTCACCTGTAGAGAACCAGGCACGTGTGTGCGTGCATGCATGAGAGAGAGAGAGAGAGAGAGAGAGAGAGAGAGAGAGAGAGAGGAGAGAGAAGGTGGAGAGGACAGTGTGATTTTGCTGCAACTGTCAGTGCTATGGCTAGGCACACTATGTGTGTTGCTTAGTCAGTGCTGGTGATAAGTCTGTATTTTCTCTCTTCAAAAGAATGTCCTCTGCCTGAATTTTTATCATGGTTGTGCTGGGAATAGAAACAACTACTTCCAGGCAAGCCAAGTTGACATTGGAATTTTGGTGATCACCAGGAGTCTGACTCTATCACCTCTTAGGATCCCTTTCTATCACTTCCTTCTAGTTGTAGTCTCCACTTTTTCCATGGCTACAAATGTTTATGAAAACTATTTACACTTGTCCATAATTTTTGTTAAATAGTACTTTCATATGCTTACCTTTATTTAAGCCTTACAACTCTGTTTATCATCCTCTCTTAAATCCTTTTAGCAGGTAGGGAAACTCACCATAGAGGTTAAGGGATTTACTGAGATGAGAGGCTTTGCTTTATTCTATGACATATTTGTTATAATATGTTTTATGGATAAGGAAATTATCATAAGATTAAGAGATGTGTCCAAGTAATTTGAGCCCAAGTTTTCTGGCTCCAGAGATCATGCTTTATTTACTGTAGGACTCAAGTTGTGTGTTAATCCTTCACTGAGCAAATGTAAAGTTTTTCAATGCTCTGCTTTCCAACTGGCAAGGCTAGCTATATTCATTCCATGTTGCCAGAGATCAAAGAGGAGTCTTCCCTGTGGGGTTGTGGGGGAGGTATGGTTCTGGTAGCCATGTCTAAACCTCAGTGTTGCAGTTCATAAATAAAAAACAAAGTTTTGTGTATATATACATTGACTCACTCAATTAACAAACATTTCTTCAACATTTAAGAAAGTAGCTACAAGGTCAGTGAGATGGTTCAGTGCGTAAAGGCAATTGCTGCCAAGCCTGATGACCTGAGTTTGATCCCTGGGAGCCACATGGTGGAAGGAGAGAACTAAATCCCATAAGTTGTCCTCTGATCTCCACAGGCATGCTGTAGTACATGTGTACCTCTTCTCTACATACAACAAATAAATAAAATGTAATATGAAAAGAAAAAGTAGTTAGGCAAATACTATAGAAGTAATGATGAAGATCACAATGTTTATTGGTGAGAAAGAAAGTAAATGTGAAATAAGGTAAATGTTAGTGGGCCAGTTTATGATGTAATACTATAATAAGACCATTGCAGAGTGCTTCAGTCATAGAAAAGGGACTGATTCAGGAGTCCTTGGGTTGGGAAGAAAGATTTCTTTTTTAAAAATTTTTACAAAAACTTTATTGAGAATTTAACACCTGCATATAAGGTGCTTTGATCAAATCCATGCCCACTCCTTCCCCTCCAACATTCCCCCCCCCCAAAGAGGTAACCCTAAAATCTTTTAAAGGATTAGATACAAGCTCCCAACTACTTTTGACATTTTTGGACTTGGAACAGAGTATGTTGCTAACAGGCCCAAGGACATTTTGACTTTTAGCCAAGAAACTGGCTACATTTCTTTGGGGTCTTTTTACCCTAACTGCCTAGCCAATTCCTACCTCCTATTCTTATCACGCCATCCTCTGTAA